GTTGATATTTTAGAACAAGCTAGTTATCTGAAGTCTGGAGAATCAATGCGAACGCTGCATTTCAAAGCACTTATTTAACCAGATTTCTTCATCTTCCATGCAATTTACCCACCAGTAATCCGATCGGTGTCTTCACTACACTCGAATGTAAACTCTTGAAGAAATAAGAAGAAATTATTGGTATTAGAGAGCAAAGCAGTTCTAGCATTTCCTGATTTTGTGTAGCAAACATAAGGTGTATTAATTACACTGCATGTCAACACTAACAATGTTTCCGGATATATTTGAGTTGTTACCACCTCATTGGTCATCCAGTAACTACCAGTATTCCCTCAGTGTGGAAACACACAACAATCGATTCTATGTACTGAGAAGTGTGGGAATGGCATACATTACAGTGAATAGGAATTTTTCATGTTCGACTGACAGAAGGAAGAAAATTCCTTATCATCAATTCAGACTAATAACCTATTATTATTATTATTATTATTATTATTATTATTATTATTATCAGTGTCACTCTACTGACCAGTCACACTCCTCGTTCACTATGTAAATTCAGTTTGAATGTTATAGGACAAGTGGGAAAAATTCAACATCTAGTCCTTATCACGTTCAACGCTAATGAAAACCACATACTGAGTGCTTGATAATATTTCAGAACACATAGAACAGTGTGTTTAGACACATTACTCTGGATTAAGGCCACAAGTGTCTGACTTTCCGATTGTTTCGACAGACACGAGTGATTAGTCAGTCAACAGATAGCACTCACTGACAAAAATTATACAAGATGTTTGGAAATCACATTTCAAAACTAAGTTTAAATGTTCGCTACTAGACTATCAGGCAACAAACTGGAATATATTGAAATTGGAGTTGTCTGCAAAATATACCAGGATTGAATGACCGATTGGTGCGTACTACAGAAGTTTGGATGATTATGCACTATTCGTTTCGTTCATCGGACTATCATTACTTCTAACAATCAAACAGAATCGGATTTAAATACGAAAACTCAAGTGTAAGATTTGTAGAACCTGATCATCATAGAACAATGATATATTTATTAATAGAAAACTAGAAATAACACATCGATTGTTCCTTCATCATACATTCTAAAGCAGTGAAGCAATCAGGTCCAGTATGATTCCACCCTGATCAGCTTGCGGCTTCTCAACTTTGGTCGCTACTGCTGATCCGTTTGTCGACGACGTCTTCCTACCCTGTCCTAATCGTCTCCCTAAATGAAAACAAAAATAATAATTTACGGATTCACAAAATACAATGATAAAATATTTTGATGAGCACGATTCATGAAACCAAAATACTGGTTACATGAGAGAAAATGATACAATCAAAATATAATAACGATTCTTCGACAAATTGAGTTGTGTGAATCATACCTGGTTTCTGCAACTTTCCACTTGGTTTGGAAATTTTATTTGATGCTACACTTTTTGGTGTAGTGGCATCATCTAGAAGGAACGAATTAGTGTAAATTCACACATCGTGATCCACCTTTTGTGTCAGCCTCGATCTCGTTTAGTATCGTGTATAAACACATGCAAATGAAGAGTACCTATATTTTGCAAATAGTGTTATGCATTCAATCACTTCTCACCTTGATTGCGTTCATTGCTGGTGTACAATTATGACGACTGTTCAACGTAATATGTGTGTATTTATATACGTGAGTGTAGTGAAGTGAGAACAGGAACGAATGAATTGGAGCAGATTGGCACGTGTCCATCGATTTGTTGGCAATAAACTGTCACCTGTCACACAATATTATGGTCATGTGTTCCAATCGATTTCTACTGTGGTCGAAATAAGGAACTGTAGCTTCCGTAGTAGGTGTCAAAGTGGATAAGTTAGTGGATTGGAAATTTCAGATACGGATTGATATTGATATTCTGTATTGTGCTTTGTCTATAAACGTGTCACTGATATTCAATAACAAAATACATCATTCGAGTCACGTTTGATATTTGTAGTGAGTGTTCATGTGGTGAGTATGAGTCCACGTTGCAAAGTCACTGCGTCGTTAGTCGGATGACGAGAATGTCATCCATCTGTGATAAGATGAGCCGCGCATTTACATCCTAAATTAAATCAGATAATTTGTCACTTGCCGTTATAATGTCAATTCACAATTTACCGATGTTGCTTCTCACGACTTATCATTCACGCGTTAATTTTTTCTCAGTCACAATTTCGTGAAACGTCCTCTATTATCACTTTTCAATTCAGAAACTTGTATTCATATGAAAATGCCGACTTCAGTGTAGAATGTCAAATATTTTCTCTACCTATGGAAGTGATGTGTGTTGAAATGTTGACGAAAATATCTCTACTGAATGTGATTTTGTTAACAGTCAGCCTCATTTATGGAAACGATCTGTTTCACTTACATCGATTTTCCATTCATTATTATTCACATAATGATGAATTGAAATATAGATAGTGAAGACTGAATAGTGAGTTCTGAATTTGTGTTGATGTGTTGTTATCATATGCGAGCACACTGCACTTCCTAAAATTCAATTGAGTGAACTGGAAGTATTCGACAGTATTTTGACATACTGAATCGTACCTCAATCTGATGCAATAATAACATAAATTGAGAGAGACTAATTTCATGGTATGATGACTTGAATGATGTATTTCCCTAGTGAATATCAGTGACACGACAATAGTCAAAACACAAAACATAATATTAATGTTATTCAGTATTTGACAAATTATCTGATCAAGAATTATCGTGGACAGTAAGGATTCAGTGAGAACTATGTATGTATGTGAGTTGAGACACACACAGTTTGAAATTGAATACAACAGTTAGTGAACACAACGGTTGAACCACATGGAAACAACAACAATTGCAAGAAGTGAAAAATTATGCTTTCCAATACCAATTGTTTGTTCTCATCTTGTTCACAGTTTACATACAAGTTTGGAGGAGACGGCGGTTTGATGAGTGCTAAGCGAATTGAATCATAGAAGAAATCTAATTAAGTCTGTACTTTGAAAGGCATCAGCTGCATTGATTTCCTAGACTTCAGTTATCTTGCTTAATTTAGGATGTCAATGTGTGACTTATTTTATCAGAGATGGATGACATTCCCGTCACCCGACTAACGATTCAGTAACTTTGCAACGTAGATTTATAATCACTTCAATTTATTGGAGATTTCATTATTATATTTTGGTTGTATTGTTTTTCTCGTGTGTAATGAGTGTTTTGGTTTCATGAATCGTTTTTATCAAAATAGGTTACCATTGCATTTTGTGAATTCGTAGATTATTATTTTCGTCTTCATTTATGAAGATCATTAGCAATGGTTATGAATAAGTTGTCGACAAACCAACCAGTAGAAGCGATCGAAATTGAGAAAGCGAAATCTGATCAGAGTGGGATCATACTGGACCTGATCGGTGCACTGCTTCAGATGTATGATGTAGGATTAACTTATGTGTAATTTATTACTTCTGGTGAATGTCACTACATCTTAATCTGTTTAAACTAATCTCTCTTATTTAACTACACTAAACATTTGTCTGTTAGCAGGTAATCAAATATTATACAGTATTATGTAAGTGATATAGCTTTCAGAGTTAAGTGTTTTACCTATAAATCGTTTCAAATATTTCGCTTAGCCATCTGCTGAATCTGTGAACTTAAATAACCAAAATAGACCTTAATTTTGTAACAATAAATATGTATTGGGAATTGAATTTTTATATGATAAGTATTTGTATCAAATAGAAAAGTAACTCATTATCTTTTGTACATGTAATACATCGTACGGAATATTCAAATCATGTTAAATTTATTATATTGACAAATCAAAAATGTACAATAATATACACAATGATACACTAATTTTCATATCTTAACTATTGAAATCATTGAGATTTATATAATTTCAACAGTTGAGATCATGAGTCAGTTGAAGCTAGACCACCATGGAAAACCTGGAAGTACAGTACGGTGGTTTCGTCCAATCGTGGGACTCCTCAGTAGTACTCATCCAGGACCCCGCCTCGTGGGATTCGAATTCAGGAACTATCAGTAGGGCGCCGGACGCCTAACAAACCAGATCACTGAGCTGGCCATCATCCCACGGTGTTTATGTCGAACATCAACTAATTCACGAAATTGAACGACACCTTCACCATTGTCATCAGTGAGTTACTACCACACAACTAACCCGGCTGAAGTCCACTGGTCACTGCTTCTCACTAGACGCGCACTGGGTGTGCACTGCTGAGGAGTCCCACAATGGGACGAAACGACCGTCCAGTTCTTACAGGTTTTCCATGGTGGTCTAGCTTCAATTGACTCATGATCTCACCTGTTGAAATTACTAAAATCTTCACAAAACATCTTCTAATATTTATATTATTACTTACATTTAGACATCATATTTATTTATCAGTTACTATTCAACCTTATTTTTATATTATTATTATGTTACTTTTTAATATTAATGTAGTTGCACATTGCTAATGTGAAACCACCACCACCCTCCCCCCCCAAAATAAAAGGAAAAAGAAATCAATTTCTATTATTCTACTCCTCAATTATTATTTCCTTCTTATTCAATGTCATGAAAGTTTATTAATTTCGCATTAACTTATCACATTTTAGTACATTCAATCATTTTTTGTTGTTACATGTTTACATTGATCATAATGATTATTAAAACTATTAATTACCACTAGTACTACTACTAATAATAATATTAGTAATAATAATTTCATTTCATTACAATGCAAAGAGAAAAAAATATAAAGAAAATAATGATTCCCATTCCCTAACTTCAATCAATTAATTGATAAAATTAAAAAAAAACATTTTTTTCTTTTAAATATCCGTTTCATCTTAATTATTTAAAGGAGAAAAACATTTTTTTTTGTTTTTTTTCGTTTTTTTCTTTTTTTTGTTTTTTTCATCAAATGACAAATATAAAAATGTATTTCATATTGTACATCATAAATACTACAATTAAAGTGCATAATGATAATTCATTTTAACATAGAAAATGATTATTTATTTATATTAAGTGCATAATTACCAATATATATGTGACTATTATCTATTATTGTAATGAATGTATCCTCTTTTAAGTGTATTTATTTGATACAATCATGGTATGCTTTCTCTCTATTCAGTAAAGTACAATACAATACAATAAAGAATGAATTGGCTTCATGTATATTTCTTTATTGTTTTATTCTATTCATCAATCTATTGTAAAAAAGATTATAATACTTATGAAACTGATGAAGAAGAAGATAATAAACGATTTAATTATTTAGATAAATCATTAAAAGAAGATATGATGAATGAAGATGGTTCATATTATGGTTCAAATGATAATGAAGGACAACAATCAGAGAATAATGGACAAGGATCTGATAATACAGAAAATAATTATAATACAAAATATGAAGATGGAAATGAAGAAACAGAAAATAATTCAGATAATTCTGATTCCAATGAATCGGAAAAATATTCTGATAATGAGAATTATGGTTCAACATATCAAAATGATTATGATTCCAATTCTAATGATGAGGATAATAATAATAATAATAATGATAATGGTGATGGCAATAATGGTAATAATAATAATAATGATTATACTAGTAGTAATAATAATGGTGATGATAATGATGAAAACAGTTATAATAGAAAGAAATATTTGAAAAACTTGTTGAAAAAGAGACAATACAAACAAAACGAGAAAAAATACTCTTCTGATGAATCAGATGACACTAGTTATAATGATGATTACAATAAACCAAATCGTGACAATCGTTACAATAATAATAATAATGGTGAGGGGAATTCGAATGACTACAATGAATATAAAAGTAAAACGAAAAGAGGATCACGAAAAAATAAATATAGGAGAGAATCAGATGAAACAGACGAAACTGATGCTAATAATGATGATTCATACAAAAAATATTCAACGAGTAATACACGGGATAAATATCCATCAAGGAAAAAAAAACCTAATGGTAAACGTAACGAATACTATGACAATGCTGATGGTTATAATGACGAGGATGAGGATGATGGTAAAAATAAAGAAAACAATGATAATTATAGGAAAAAATCTAAAAAACCAAATAGACGAAGGAAAAAATACACAACGAATAATGATGATAGTGGTAATGAGGATAATGATAATGGGGAAAATGAATATCGAAGAAAATATAAGCAAGTCTATAGGCGGAAAAAAAGGAATTCAAAGAGAACTAACCATAGACGTAAAAACTACGAGTCAGATACCGAAGAGTATGTTCCACAGAAGAGAAGTCGTAAAAAGAATTCTTATAAACGTAAATATGATAATGATAATGGAAAAGATAATGGTAATGATGATAATTATTATTAAGCAAATGACAGCAGACAGTAATAAATCAGATATCATAATAACAGATTTAGTATTAAAAATGATCTTTTGATCAAAATGATAAGTAATTATTTCCTGTTTGTTTGTTTTTGTTTTTGTTGTTGTTGTTGTTGTTGTTGATAAGAGCAGTGCAACAAAGACTTTTTACTCCAGGACATATTTCATTCAGTATACTCTAAGCAAATCAATAAAACTATTATGTAACAATATTCATTAACTGCTGTACACTTTTTAATTTTACCCAGTAATCATGGTATAAATTTGAGATGGGAGAAAAGCAATAGATAATAATAATAATAATAATAATAATAATTACTCGTCTGTTTTGTTTCAATAGGAGTTAATAGTTAATACTACCTCGTCTTCATTTGGTACTGGTTAACAATACACACTGAAGTTAAGTAAATATCAGTATGTGTATAGGTAATAAGTACTATACTCACAATTTTATAGGTTATTATACATGTATACATGAACTGTATTCAAGCTTCAATTGTTCCTACGTACATAAATAAATGAGTTTCAGATTGTATTTGATTAGAAATATGAACTTTACTGATTATTTATTGATTGTTTCTATTAGTCATTCACTTACAGATATTTAAAAGCTCTAATTAAAGGAAGAGTTAGGAAATTAGTTTGCGGTATTATGATTACAATAGTTATTCAGGCGAGACTCTAATATATGGATGACCTTTGAACGAATCTTAAGTGACCTTGAGAAATATCAATCAGTCATCCATATGGCTACAGAATAGTCGGGCTCAGAAGCCATGATGAGATCTCAAAAACTATTTCAGCCTCGACCACATAGTTTCAACATTGTTTATGTGCACTCCGGTTCTTGAGTGCACAAAATGCTACTTTTGGATAGTGACACGATGCACATAACCAAGCTTATGTAGGAGGCTATACGCTTTTCAATCATCCGTATATATTATAGTACCTTGCTGCAGCCAGTGTTACTGGTGCTTTTATTATCCAATTCGCAATAATTGTCATAATTTGTCTTAGTAAGGAATTATATATAGGGTTTTCGCCACGAAATGACACCAGCTATAATGCCAGAAATTTATTTAGTCAAATGGATGAAAGGCTTTCACGTTAAAATCCGGGATCTGTTATCCTATACCTGATTGATTCGTCCACATATTATAGTCTCGTTGTTTATTTGTTATGGTCGCTCAACTATCACGTTTTGGTACAAGATACCCTGTGAAACGATCATACGTTAGCCTTAAGCACTGAAGTTGGCGCCGTAACCCTGAAATCTCTAAAACGCTTCTGATTGACTCGTCCATAAATCAGAGTATCGCCGTTATTCAAACGTTAGAAATATTATAAAGGAGAATTTCACTAATTAAATTTGAATAGACTATTTGATAAGCACATACTTTCTGATAAAACAAAAAAATGGTGTGATAGATTTGGAAATGATTTGAAATGCCTGACATATTGTTGAGAAATAAAGAAGAAGTAAAGGATTAGTGTGAACTTAAAGATCTTCATGAGTTTTCTATACGGATGGTTTGTCTGCTTTTTTCTAAAAACTAATCTCAACTAGAACGTGATCATCTTTAATATTCCATTCGAAATATTTGCTGAATTAACTTAAATCCTAATCACCATAAATATTATCTGCTAGTGGTTATTTATTCTCTAAAGAAGTGGCTTACACTAAGTCACGAAACGTCGGAAAATCTAATATTTTTAGTTATTAGGATAATACAAATATATTATTTATTTATCTGTTAGTGGGTTTTCCTTTAAATATTAAAGCAATCAAGACATAAACAAAGATAGATAGTGCTTAGCAGTAGAATCCAGGACGCATGTTTCGTCCTATTTAAAACTCGTCAGCTGGATGTACCTATGGGATATAATTCTATCCATCAACAACGATAAGAAGACGCTTAAAAACTACTAGTATGTTACTAATATTTATAGGTAAATTACTTAGTTTACGTATACATTATTCAAAAATCATTTAATCATGACTAAGAAATTACATCAGAGTAGATTACATAAAAAGATTATTGTTTAGAGTGAATAAGTGGAAGTTGTTAGTTGTCGTTTCTAGTTAAGTATAAATTTATTATCAGCCATCATACTTAGTCGATCAATCAAAACGTTCAAAATCTGTATTTTAATTTGTTGAAAAATCCCGAAATTCTGAATTTGAATTTAAACTGCGTTCTCAGTGATAGTGTAACAATGTTGAGAGTAGTGAATCAATTTCTCACTTCATGAAACTATCTATTTTTATTCTAGAATTCTTTAGTTGAAAAATTATTGATAATTATTATTATCAAAAAGGGTTTTTGTTGATATTATAGTATTTTACTAATTGAGTTCATGTGTCAATTAAAACTAGACAATCATAGAAAATCTGGAAGCACTGGAAGGCCGTTTTATCCTAGTGTGGGACTACATATCAGTGCATATCCACGATCCTGACCCGCTAGGTTTGAACCCGGAACCTATCGGTCTCGCTCGTGAACGCATACAACGGTGTTAATATCTAACTTTAACTAATCCACGAAATTCAGCTACCGTCCATCACTGTCTTCAGTGGGTTACTATCTCACAATAAATAAAGTATATCATGTATTACGACTACTAATTTGCCTAACGTTACTCGAATGTGACAGTCGTAATTGCACTATTAGAGATCGTGCGTATTTTGACGACAAATATAAAGAAACTGTCGAAACCATAATCCCAACCAGTCTTACTGGATCCACTTCTTTTATTGTTTGCACAGCCTTTTCTTCATATTTGGATTCCTGTGCTTTATGAATAATCAATGTAAAAGTAAAAACAAAACGAAAAACAACTGTAAGTATTGACTGTTTATACTTATAAGCAACGATGGAGAGTGGCTAGCAGTGGAATCCAGGACATACGTTTCTTCCCATTCAAGACTCGTCAGCTGGATGTGCCTGCATCTCAAAGTTGATGTTCACTCTGGGACTCCAACCCATCGCATTATCTACTTAGTTACTGAGTCCTGATAGCCACTTGTTTGTACAATGGGGTGAAGTTTAATTCACTTGATATTGTTTTACTTGAATCTTCCCATTGATGTTTTACATAACTATGTATAAATATAACATAAAAATCGACAATTGTGTCACTATATATTTTGCACTTGTAATCCGTAATATCTTACGGAGTTCATTGATTAAATTTAATGCAATAATAATATGAATACTTTTTAAAAAATAAAAATATCCTATGTACACCCCCTACATTTACAGTGTGAATTGTATAACATTGATTAAGAAAATTCCATCTATCAGAAAAAAAGAGAAAAAGAAAAAAAGAAAAGCAAACGACATACTAGATGGTGTATTAAGTAATATAGAACATGCTCATTATGAATAACAGAAGATATAACTATCAAGTTGTGAAGAAAACTTTTTATTCATTAATAAACATTTCAGCTTAACAGTTTATACATTAAAAGAAAACAATTTAGTCTGATTTATTTCATTCACTTAGTATTGTTTACTTGAATCTTCACAGTGATGTTTAACACTGAATTTGATCAGTCTCTTAATAGTATATGTGCATATTGTGTGTACTATCTCGATATTTCCTTAATTCACAAGCATTCTAAACAAATATGGATAGTGGCTAGCAGTGGAATCCAGGAAGCGCGTTTCGTCCTATTTGGAGCTCGTCAGCCGTATGTATCTGCATTTGAGTTGATGTTATATATATGAGTATACTCTTTATTTAAATTAGTTAGAGGATTAAAATACAAGTTTGGATTTCATATAGTATAATTCACGAATGAAAGGGGATTAAATCTGTGAATCCTGAGGATAATATTTGACTTCGTATTTGTATACAAAATTCAATGTAAATTACTGTATGCTCTTGATTTTAATGACTTTCACAGATCTAGAAGTATATATACGGTCAAATTTCGAGACAAACAAGCGTATACTTGACTTTATATATTCCATATTTATTCGCTCACACGATAGTCTAGATGGTTAAAGCATTTCCTAGTCCGTCTGAAAATAATAAATAATCACCATGACTGGTTATAAAAACCCAGATCATATGTTTATAACATTATAGTTTAAAGACTTTCTGGACGCTGCTAGACAAGCACGTCTTACGTTTGATTCATTATTAAGTCTTAGCTAACAGTTATAAAGGTTCTGAAAACTAGAAGGAGATAAATTCTCTATGATATTACGTTAGTTGACTGATCAGTTTGTGAAAATCTGGAAAATTTACTGATTGAAATTCTAAGAAAGAAGTAACTACATAAGACATGAAAATATTTGTACACTAGTCGGTGTTCATTAGATTACAGATTCATTTGTTAAAGTTTGGGCTTTGTGATATTTTTAATTGATTTTAACCAGTTACTTAAATTTTTTTAAGTAGTTAACTTTAACTCTAATTTAAGATAGAAATCAGTTTTACGTGAATGAATCGGAGTGAACTGTCAAAGGTTTAGTATCTCTCATTGTGCACGTACTATTGATATTAACAATTTTTCTTAGGCAGATTTGATGTAACGAGATCTTAGTTAGAGATGTAGTAGATAATCCAAATTTTATCAACATGACTTTAAAAATCGAATTTTAATGATTGATGACACACGTTAGAGATCAGTGAATTTGATTGGAATACATATAAATGAGTCAATATGCCAGTTTTAAATAAATAAATTTACCCTTAATTTAGGATTCGGAATATAAAATAAAGGTTCGACGAACCATCCTATGCTTGACAAAAGATGAAAAAGGGTCTAATAAATAAGCAAAAGTAGTTCAATATAAAAATCATCACTTTAAACATACTAGCAATACTTGATTTTGTAAGTTTAAGCCCTCTATCAAAAGTAAAGAACCTTTTGCTTTGAATCACAAGTATGAACTATGTTTTGATTTGTAAAACACATATTGAGATATCAGAAAAGTGATTTAACCACCTTCTAGGAACTTGTACTGAAACTCTGAAGGCAAATACTACATATCAAGCGAACATTTTTTCATACTTTAATACATTGAGACACAAAGACGTAAATACAAAATAAGCCTATTCCAAAATCAATCTTGAATTTACTTGTAATCTAAGAATTACAATTTAGTATATGATTAGTTTCGGTTAATTTCACCTTATTCATTTTCTTGTCTGTACTCGTCATGTATAATATCTCGTGGTTTCCCTTTCTCATGTATTAAATATCGCTTTCCTTTTTCAACGACTTCATTCACCTTGATGATTGTACAAAGCTAAGACGAGATCCTACAATGAAACGAATGAATTTCTTCTCCCTACTTAGTT